TCGTTTCATTTTTGTTGGAATAATAATCCAATGGATTATTTGTGCAACATGATGCAATTTATGCATATTTTTTTCCTTATAAATGTTTGTCTTTCTCACGATATTGTTAGAGGTTATAACACGATTATAGTGGTTGACTGGTAGCAATGAACACGGAGAATATTCCGGCCACGGGTAAATGTAATTAAAACGCATGCTGGTACGAGGATTTTGCATTTGAGGTGGAATGAGATTGATAGCTGTGAGCGTTAGAATACTTGTGACCGATCTAGCGTGCCACCAACAAAATACGGAGCGTGCCTGTTACAATTAAAGGTAACGCGTTAACATAATTTCAAGGTGACGCGACACAATTTTCCACGTGTGGAAAATTCATTGATCGCATTCAGCTCGTTGATACGAACATTTTTATGTTGATCCTTGGAATTCGAAAATTTATGTTTAAACAATAATAAATAATTAGTTCGAAGAAACTTTGTCGATGAAGAGCAACACTTTTCTTTAATCTCTCAAAGGGGGAGGGGAGGGGTACAAGTAAAACATTAAGCGCGTTAAAACCGGAAATTGCACGTGCATCTGTTTCATTAACTACCTTCTGTCCCGAAAGCTCACGATTTACGAGCACTTGAAATAAAATAAAGTAACACTTGCACCGTTTCCGCGCCAGGAGGGGAGGGATGAATTAACAAAACAATTAAACGTAAACGAGCGTGAACGAACGACTCCGTTAAGTCGTCGTTCTTCACAATCACTTTTGCCAGCGGATTTTCATCGAGGGTGTTAAATTTTTTCCACAACGTAGAATCACTACGTTGGAAATTAGCCTATAAAACGACAAAAGACCACGTTAACCACCTTTTCCTTCCTTTCGTAACTTTTACGTAAAAATCCTCATAAATCATCGCAATCCTTTTAATTCTCGAGTTCGCTACCATCGAAATCGTGCGATATCTCGTCGACATTCGTCGATAAGGATCGAATCACGAATCACCACGTGCACCCGCGAAAGAAATATCGCGCATATCTGTCCGATATACATCGAATGCGACTCGACAAGAATGGCGTATCGGTTGAAAAGGAATATCGAAGCACGTGGATGGATGGCACGCGACGCTTCGACAGCGAAATTTATTAATATTATAACATGGCTCCGTTCGAACGAAATGTATCGATAATTTATCTGTCAAGAGTACTACGAATAAATAACAGGACGTTTCATCGATGGGAACGAACGTGTTAAACTCCACTCCTCGAAACAGAAAAAAATTTAAAAGCCTTTAACGACGTCCCACTCGAGCCACTTACCATCGATTAATCAGAATTGCAAATGCGCGTTCGATCTTGGCGAACAACTCGATAAAAAGTAGTGAAGGATTTCTGAAAGGTGCGCCAGAGAAGGACGCGCTAATTACGAATCGGTGATGAGAGGGAAGAGATAGATAGAGAGAGAGAGAGAGGATTCATTATGCGGAGCCGCTGGCTTCAGCTCCCTTTGTTTTCTCAGCTCTCGTCACCGGCCACGCGAGAATTCACTCGTCGACTTCACCGCTTTGGATACAGCTTTGACCACGTTGCCGACCGAGGACACCTTCGACGAGTCCTCGAGGAAGTTAATTATGCAAGGAGGAAGACCGTTATCCATCTCCAAGAGGCGGTTGAAAGGAACGACTGCGAGTTGCAGATAACCGATTTCCCTCGCTACGATTCAACCGAGCCTCCTCTCCAGTTTTCGTCGACCGACTTCTTTGGGCGAAAGATTGAAATTTCGAAAGGAAAGGGGAGAGGCTATTCTAAGATCGAGAAACAATTATTGCGGAAGACGAAAGATAACGAACGTTTGGAGAAATTTGAGATGATTAATATAAAATAATAGAAGGAAATAGAAGAATTATTTTAAATTCGAAAAATCAACATCTTCTCCCGTTAAAAGAAATCGGAAATCGAGCGAAGATCGGAGGAGCGAACGCGCCAATCTTTTCCCACTTGCAACGGCTGATTCGCGCGAGCCTGTACTACTTAACTGATCAACCAACCTCAACAGTGTACCGTACACTCGTGCCGCGGCTAAGTGGCAATCGGCGTTTATTAACGGCGATCATCAGCTCGATTACAACGGATCGATTTAAAAAACGCTGATGGCTCGATAATACGCTCGTAATACGACTCATCGAGTGCCTTCCAATCGACTCGATCCGTCGATTAACTCGAATTCCGATTAAAGCCAAAAGTGTCGGTTATTCTAATTCTGAATATCGAACGATAACAAATCTTGCGAAATAAATCTGCGAATGAATCGAGAATCGAGTTTTCGAAGGAAAAAATTCGTATAGTTGGAAATTGTCGTGTAGTTGGAAATGTTGTGCAATTTTTCTCTCTTTCGTCGGACGACACGTCGGTATTTATACACCTTAGATAGTCTCGTAGATACATCACGTAGCACGGTTATGATTCTCTGAAGAGGCGAGGCGCGGCGAGAGAAGCGGCGCTGGAATCCCGCTGGATCGATAAAACTAGAAGCCTTCAGCGGGAAAATCTAAATTTATACCGACTGTCGGAATACAACTGCGTGTTTGGATAACATTTACATGCCGTGCGACAATGTCGCGGCCAACGGGAGATCGGCCGCCGCAAATTTTCAGACGAATGCAGATTTATTCATGAATATTCGCATGCGTTGCCCTGCCGTCCCCTGGTGTCCCATAACAGGGAACAGGAATCGAATAATTTTCATTTACTTTCGAAATTGTTTATGCAATGATCGCAGATCGTATACGCTCACACATTTTTTGGAAAGAGAAATAGTATGGAATGTAGCAAGAAAAGGTATATCCTTATTATTATTATTACTTACATTTGATTTTTTATTCTTTAATCTCACAACTCTTATGTTCAGTAGTATAGTAAAAAGTGAAGAAAAAGTGGTGCAATTAACTTCATTTTTTGTAATATTTTATTACAGTGAATATTTCGAAATAAAGTTATCATTTTCACTCTTTTTATATAATACGTTTAATCAATATGCAAATTTATCGACGAGTAATAAGATAAATACGTAAAGAACGAGCTCTTTGCTGATAATAATTTTCGAAACGAATCTATTCAACTTAACCAGAATCGT